GTAGAACCTAGGAAAATTTGCTCCGTAAAAATACCCCATGATGTGCTTAATTTATGGGTAGAGTTTTAGCTTTGTCAGTCCTGCTCACATTCATGACCTAGAGTTTGGTTTATAGATTTTTAAAAAGCTATTAAAATGAAGGATTGAATACAGTTCTTATAATTAATGGTTAGTTTATTGTAATTGTTCTTTTCTGAGTTACACATTACATACAGTGTCAGCAAATTGAACGTTGTAGCATTGGGCTGGTGCATTAAAATAAGAAAACAAATTATGTAAAAATTACTGAACAAAAAAGTGAACTATATCAGCCCAATTTTACTATCAAAACTGAGTGAACTGGGAAAAGGGTGGTTTTTTTTTGGGGGGGGGAGGGGGGAGGGCTCTCGAAGAGCATAAGAAGTTTTTATATTTTAAATAACTAAATATATTATTAACAGAGATGTGGGTATTGATATTTAAAAGTGCTTTAATTTCCCCACAACAGTTGCTTTATTCTAAAACATAAGATTGAAATGATATCGATAAAAATAGAGACCAGATTTATATGGATATAGCTGTGTTTTAATTATATCATCATTATCCAATATGCTAGATGGACAAAGCAGCCAGTTTTCTTCTTATGCAGCTGTTTTGCACATTGAAATTAACAGAGTCTAGTGTCTGTATTCTCTTTGCTTTTTATGTAACCTCTATATAGGGCTTGATCCTCTGGTTGAATCCACGTGAGCCTGAATGGAGTCCCACTGAAAGGCTTTTTTTTGAATGGATCCACACAGAAGCCTGATGTCCTTCTTATGATTTGACCTGTGTACTTTTTTTGATGATGGCGTGTTTTTCTCTTTATACAGTGGTTATATTGTGAGAAGTGACAGGTGAACTGTTTTACAAGTGGAAGGGTTTTTTAAATGGTCACAAACATAGTATTTTTTATATTACAGTAGTGCTCTGATATTTCAGAACTTACAGGAAGTTACTGGTTGACAGTCTGAAAGAACAGTCTGTGAAACTGGATATTTTCTAAGGGGCTGATTCAAAGCTGCTATAGTCAATTGGAATTTTTCTTTTGGCTTCACTTAGGCTCTAAAACCGTGATGAAATTGTAGGATGATTCCCCAGATAAAAGCATCTTGGGCCTTTTCTAGGAGTTTAGTCTAAAATACAGCTAGGGCATAGGAAAATAAAACTAATCAAGAGACCCTTTGTAAAATGAGTCTGATAGTCTCCATTTTCCTACTTAGTAGATGAGTCAGCTGAAAAAAGCATTTTACTAAGGCAAATTCAAGTTGTCGGTCAAGACTACAAAATTATTAAGAAACTGTTCTGAGCCATGGTCATGGTTAAGCTATGCTTGCTCAATAAAGTGCTGGGGTCTGAAAACAGCCGTTTGTCATATCAGGTGAGAACTTCAGAAAAAATGCTGATCAGTCACTATAAACAAACACGTCAGATGTCCTTATGCATGACAAAGAACAATTAAGATAATTCAGATGGAACGAATTAAAAAATCTACCTCACTTTTTTACCATCTTTGCTGTTTATATAATTTTTGCTTGGCTGTGAAGTTCAGCTGACTGGCTTTGCTTTTGCTGCTGTTCACTTTTATTTCCCTGCTTTATGGGCTAGCACAATGCAAATTCTGGAGAATGCTGATATCCAAACAAAACATGATTTTAACTGGAAATAAATTGATATGAAAACAAAAATCTATTTTACTGAACCAACTCAAGGTCTTTTGTAATAAAGAGAAGCCTATCAAGAAACATGCTGCAAAATAATTTGATGACAGTATGTTTATCTTTTTTTTTCACATACCCAGAAATTGGAAGAGATGTTCATTGTCCAGACCAGCTTCACTTCATGTTTTAAGAAAACAACCTCTCTCTGTTAAAGTAAGCCCCAAGCCTAGAGGGATTTTGTGTTTGTTTTTTAAAAAAGATTTGCAAATGTAATAATTTATCTGATTTTTCAATGCAAACCAAGGAAATACGAAAGTTGAGTTTACTGGAAGAGTGCCTGTCTGACAATATGCAAGCCATCTTGAGAACTAAAATGGCTTCAGAATTCTGCATGAAAATGAGGGTTTAGAAACATAAATGTGGAATTCATAGAAGCAAAAGCCACCCTGCCTTTTCCTCGTAACCTTCACTCTTCTGCCCATGCCAGGAATCTCACAAAGATTCATAGCTGTTAATGATGGAGCATTGATGTTTTGAGTGGTTATTACCGTTACTGGGCTCTGATATGGTATTTATCCTGCCTGGGACAGAGAAACTTAACCTTCCTCTGAAGTCCTCAACTGTCACTGAAGTCTTTGAGAGCTGAGAATACTTGGCAGCTTGCAGGAGCAAACTATAAACGGTGTTCTTGAAAATCCTATCCACTTCTCTAGCTCCTGGCAGCAGGTGCAACTATGGGCCATCAGGAAACAGGCATTTTTAGTGACTGAAAGGACAAGCGGAGATAAAGAAACAAAAGACAGAGGGGGAGGAGAAGATAGATCTTCCGGTTCTTATCTTTCAGTACACACCGTGATGCTGCACACATTGGGTCCTGAGGTTGCTAAGCTCCTTTCAAAACCTGAATCTGCTGCTTTGAACGCATTCATTACTGGTTAGATCCAGTAAAGAATGTAGGCCCCTGGAAGATGTGCTATGGCTTAGCCCTGGTTGTGGAATCCAGAACCCTGTGTAACCTCATTATACAATACATGGGGAGATCAGCGTGCTTAGCAGCTGCCTAGAGCCACCAGACCAATGGTGCTCAACCATTTTTGTGTGGGTCAAATCAGAAAAGGGCCAAGGGCTGCATAGAAAAGCATGATAGTTCTATACTTTGGCATATCCTAATATGAAGTATTTTAAGTAATGACAGAAAGGAAAAAATAGGTGTTAATGATATTAGGCTTATTAATACAAATTGAAAAGTTCAATATCCTGTAGTATTAATTTAAATTTTATAAAAATAATAAAATTTTGGAATCATTACAAAATAATAAGACCAACCATAACATTGCACAAATTTATTAAAGAAGTCTTTTAGATAACAGATGGAAATTATCCAGCTGGCAGCACTGTATCTTACTTGAGTTCCCTGTTCTTCCCAGGGCCCTCCAGGGCTAAGTACAGACAGTCAAAAGGCTCAAGGCTGAATTGAGTCAGTCTTTGCAGGTTAGTCTAAGCTGCAAAGATTGAACCAATAAGCAAAATGAAGAGACATTCACTTTTGAATCAGCCAGAAACTGGGGGAGCTAAAGTATGGCTCTCTGGCACATAGCTAGCATAGGCTGTGTGTTCGCTCTCTCTTCCTGCTGCCCCCAAGGTATCTGGGATTTACAGTCCACAATCACAGCAGCAGGACTCTGCAGGGTTACTTATCACTTCTTCCTGCTTCAGGTGCCTCTGGGATCTGTAGGCCACAGTCACAGCCAGCACTAAGTAAGCCAGAAAGGCAGGGAAGTTCTGTACTTGGGGGAAGGTGAGTAACCCCTCTTCCTGGCCCCAGACCACAGCTGGGGTTTGCTGGCGGGGAGGGGGCTATGTGCCGGCCAGCCCTCACTATTCTAGCTAGGGACCAGAGGGGCAGGGCCAGCCCTATTCTCTGGAGAAGGCAGCACAGCCGAGCCCAAGGCTGGAAAGCATGCTAGGTTGCTGGGGGACTGTGATTTAACTTGAACCATGTGCACTAAAGTTCTGTTGTTACAGGTTTAAACCAGTTTCTGATCACTTGACCAGTTTGTCTGTCCCTAGCCCCAGTGTCTCCAGAAAGGAGAGTCATGTGCTTTCAGAAAAAAGTGAGATAGAGCCCAGGCTCTTCCTCACAGCAGTTGGACTTTCTTTGAAATAACTTCTTTTTCAGGTGGTGTAGCCAGCCCTATATTGCACCAGAGCCCATGGCTGTGTGTGCATGGAGCCATGAAGGGTGGGTCTCCACTGCCTTTCTCTTTCCAATATAAAAGATGAATGCTGCACCATTGTTGCTTCCTTCTCTGGCTGTTTTAAAAGGAAGTGACCACAGCTGTGTTTTTCAGGAAGCCTGCCCTGATGATGTGTGCTAGGTATGTTCTGAGAATGTCTTCCAGACAAGTCCCTGTGAAATGTAGGTGGAAGAATACCTAGTTGCTGGATCCTGATTGTGCTTATATGTGAGCTAGGTGTCTGTTGTATTATCTGGTGTCTGTTGGCCACCTCTGGATATGTTGGAGGTGCTACTCCAGGTACATAAGGAACTCTAAAGTCACAAAGTAAGTTAGCCAGGGAGTCTTGGCAGCACCTGAACTGTTCTTTGGATCACAGTTTTAGATTCTGGTGCCTAAATTCTGCCCATGCCTTGCTTTAGACACCTGCTTTAGTATAGCTTTACTGAATATATTATACTTAAAAACTATCCCATTTGCTTTATGGCTGTATTTGCAATTGAAGGGGGAATGGAATATAAGGGAAGATGCCAGCAGTGGGTCCTGTGTGCATAACACTTACTCTTGTAAATAAATGCACTAACTTTAAAGAAATAAGATTGCACACATTCCATCTACAAATGGACTCCTTTTCCATCAAAATTTACCCCATAGCTCCTGTGAGAATCTTGAATGAAATCCCTTCCTTTTTATGTTTAAAAAATAATGTTTATCTCATGTGGCTTCTATGCCTTTGTCTTGTTGTGACATCGGCCATCCCTTGATTGTTGAACTTCTTTGATCTTCTTTGATTGTAGAGCTGTATAAATGGCCCTGGCATCCATTACCTCTGCTCTGCTGTAGATGTCAGCAGCCATTTGATTAACTACTGAGATTTAAACTCCAAGGTGGGGTATGAAGTAAATCATGTAGCTGATGCTTCATTCCATCCTTGCTTCACCTGCTATCTCATTTTGGCTTGTTGGTAGAATGGCAGTGTGAGGCCTTCATTACCCTGTAATATGTGCTGTAATTATAACAAGGGTAATTGGAAAAAAAACCTGCACACAACAGCACAATACATGTCTCCACCAGAACTGAACGGATGAAAAAACATGGCATTTATTTGCAAGGTTTGAGACAAGAACACTGCATTAGATTTGCTGTGAGGAATAGCTGTGAAGATAAGACTAGTATTCTGAATAAAATCTCAACAGGAGTTTGGGATCAGTGGATTTGTATGTTATGTGAAGGAAAGCAGGGGGAGGGATTTCACGCTGCTGAACTTTTAGATAATGATGTAACGAAAGGGGGCAGCTAATTTCCTTCTCTGCACTCCATCCCAAAAAACAGATGCTCTTGCTTAAAAAAAAAGTTTTAATCTCCAGATGTTTGCCTTCTATGACTCCCCAGGAATATGATCTGCTCTTTCTGGGTAGTAGCCTCATTTAATGAAAACAGCAATTCTGACTATGGGCTTAAGTAGAAGCACTTTGGCAGAGGGCAGGAATTTGGACAGATTTCACTCCTTTTCTAAAGGAGCTTAAACTATTATTTGGTATTCTCCCTCACTCCAAATAAAAATGTCCATGTCTTCCCTTAAAATTTTTATTTGTAAGTCACATAATGCTAACACTAGATGCCATATGAAGATAGTAATAAAACTGGTTGTAACATTTATAGAACATGTTTCATGAGCAAAGTGCTTTGCAGTTGAGATGCCATTAAAGACAGGCTTTTTGCAAGCAGCGGATACACCACTGCTGTGTTTTGCAGAGTTAGTCCTTAGTATTCAGGATATTTTGGGGAGGGAGGTGAGCGGGGATGTTGTATGAAGAGTAACATAAAAGACTTAGCTCTTCATATATTATCCAGTTACTTTTTTCTTTTGTCATAGGAGAAAGGAATAAGCTTCAAACATACTGCATAAACCTTTACCTTCCCCAGCTGGCACAATATAATGCAGCAATATATTCTAATGTATCTACCATTTTACACAAATTTAGTGAAGTGATTCTTAGCCAGGGTGCTACCAGATCCATCTGAAGATGGAAAAATAAGATCTTGGTCTACAATGCAGTAGTTATCTACATGCTGTTCCACAGGTGTGAGATGTGGCTGACATACTGAAGCCATCTTAAGCGCCTAGAATGGTTCCATCAGCATTGCTTCAGGAAGATCCTTTGCATTAGATGGGAAGACCACAGCACCAGTGCCAGCATCCTCTCTGCAGCTAACAACCAGCATTGAGGCAAAGATCATGAAACATCAACTCCAGTGGGCTGGCCACTGTGTGTGGATGGCTGACACTCATCTTCCGAAGCAAGTCCTCTTCTCTCAACTCAGTCATGGCAAGAGGACCCACAGAGGACAGAGGAAGCGTTACAGGGACACCCTGAAAGCATACCTTAAGAAGGGTGGCCTCCCCATCAACCTTACAAAATGGGGAAGTGCTGGACCATAAATCAAAGAGAACCGTCTTGCTCAGACAGCCAAGAAACAGTGAGGAGGAAGGAAAGCGCACAACATCCTGGCCAACAGCTGTCCCCCCCTCCCCACCCAGGTACCACCTATCATATTTGTGGAAAAATGTGCAGGGCACAGATTGGACTCTTCATCCATCTTGAAATTCACCAGGGTCAGCAGTGCATACTCTCATGCCCACCTTTGGGTTGAGCTCACATTACAGAGGGGGAATTTACTCAATATAGGCTCAAGAGTTTGGGTTACAAGTTTGGTGAAAAATAGAGCAGAATGTCCAGCAGTGTGAGGTTGTCCTCTTCACTTCCTGATTGCACCCTCCTTACTTTGGGGACTTTGGACCCTATAGAGATGCTTCCTTTGAATTTGAGCTGGATGAGAAACATGTAGCAGAGCCAGTAATCCCCCTTCTATGCTCCAGTGGCTTGAGGTCTCTCTTTGTGGAGGAGGGAAAGGACAAACTCTACGCGTGGTTGGTACAGCTTGTCGCATAATACTGAACATTAGATATAGGTGGTATGGAAACAGAGCATGTAAACATCATAAAATAGTCAGCCACAAGTAAAGCTCTAAATCATTCTTTGTTCTGTTTTAAATTGCTCAGAAGGCATTCAACATTTGCACTGACACAAATATGCAAATTGAAATTTTTTAAATGTCCACTGACTTTTACAGAACACGCGCAATGAATATTAAACAAAGCCCGGATGTTCCCTGTGTCGTTGCCCACAGTCTGTACTTCATTTTCTATTATGTGGAGTGAGTTTTAAAAACTTTTTAAAGGTCATGCTGTTTATACTGCATAATATATAATACAATTCCACTATAAATTAGAAACATACTTTACTGCCTGCTGCTGTGCTCCATGAAGGTGAACAAGATTTGAAATCATACATCTCCTCCTCATATGGAAATAGTAGTGGATAATATTTAATACGAGTGTAACAGGGAAACCTGGATGCCTCCACAGACCTGTAATGAGCTATGCAATCCTCACATGTAGGACACAGTGCCAAATGTTACTCTCTATCCCATCTATACTAGGAAATTTGTCTATTGTTGACAATGGGTGCAGATGAGATCAGAGCTGAAAATAGTTTAACTACAAGTGCAGATGGGACCAAACTGTGCTCAGTATCATTTCAGAAAATATGCTTAACCTGTCCTTGGGTGCAACACTTGAATGGCAAATGTGCCCCTCTCCCTCTACCCAGTAAATGGGTATATTTGCTTTCCTTGTGTAATATCTCCTACAAGTGCCCTGTTTGATGACACTAAACAAAGATCCACACATCATTCCAGCTAATCTTATAGAAGTGATGCAGGTTACGTGGGGATAACTCATTTGGCCCCTCTTAAAAACAAAAGGTACAGTAACAGAGAGTGGATGGGGGAGAGGGGGGTGAGTACTATACGTTAATACAGCTCTCACTGCATTCAGGTTCTTCATAAACAGCACATAAATAATGAAAATACCTTCACAGGCAAGTTGTTCAAAAAGAACTCTTTTTTCTGCCCCCAGATAAGCCATTGCTTAAGAACCAGGTTTTCCAATTTGACGAAGTGTTCTTGAACTTGAAATCTCAGTGTAAGGGCACGATATGTAAGGTAAGGGAATGAATTAAAACTACAAATCTAGAACTCTAAATCAGGAAATTTCAGGTTTAGCATCATGTTGTAAGGAAAGGTGTTGCAAAGGAGAGAACAGCCAATATGTGGACTACTGGGCTGCACATAGATCACAAGAGGTAGGAGATCCCTTTAGTTTTTTTGGACAGGCATTTAGTAAGAGGAGAAAAATTGACTTTCAGTGTGATTTTTCTCCCACTTCAGAATAAGCATGATAGTAGGGCTGCAGCCTTCCAGATAGGACTTCTTAGGCCTCTATAATGCTGTAAGCTATAAGAGAAGAGTAGAGTACAGATCAGTTTGGACAGCCCCTGATTAAATACTCTCTTCCTTAGCATCCATCTGTGTCACTTTCAGACACAGGATACTGGGTTCAATGGACTTGTGGTCTGACACAATATGGTATTTCTTATTTTCTTAGGAACTATATATCTTGCATGAGGTTGGAATCATGTACTTTTGAACAGTGCAGATCCTGGTCTATTTACCCATTCACATGGTCCCTTTACTAGAGGCTGGTAAATCCTGAGAGTGGTATTGGTAGCAGATGGACAGAGGGATTGCTCACAGAGCAAATACCCAGTGCCAAACAAAGTAAGAGATGCTATTTTAAGCATTAATAGTGAAAAGGGAGTCCCTACACCAGTATAAGACTGGTTGTATGCTATATCTAACAGTTCTTGTTGGCAGGGAAGTAACAGCAGTGACCTAACCAGACAGCTCTGAAGGTAGACTATTTTATATTAAAATGTGCAGCAATACTCCTCCCACCAATGCAATGAGCTATTGTAAACCACAGAATCAGGAGGACTACAGCCTTCTTTCGTCTCTCATTGGACAAAGAAAAGCAGAGCAAGCTCCCATTTCTCTGCTGTTTTACTCGGCTCCCTGCCATCTCAGCTTCTGAATTAGACCCATCACTTGCTCAAGCACTAGAGCAGCAGGTACTCAATCTCCACCCCACAGGCCAAAGACAGCCCATAGAGCCATCACACCTGGTTTGTGGGGCTCCCCATGGGCTGGGAAATTGGGTGGCGGGGAAGTAATGGCCATTAATATGGCCATCCTCTCCCCAGCCAAATTCCCAAACCCCAAGCCCTGCAGGCTTGGTCGGAGGAAAGCCACGCCCTCTCCCCCCACAGGGCTGGATTGGGGCCAGGCTGGGCCCCCTTTACTCCTCCCTGCCTCCAGGGCTGAGTTCTGCTTAAGCCATGCGCCCTCCTCCTGCCCTGCAAGGCCAAGCCTTGTCCCCTTCATCCCCCCTCCCAGGCCAGGTCATGTCCCATTCCCAATCCCCATGAGGCCAGGTAAAGGCCCTTTACCCACTGCGGGGCAGGGCTCAGGCAGGGCTCCCCAACACTCCCCTCTGTGTGGCCAGTGGTGCCCACCACACTGGCCCTGGGAACTGACATGCCCCATCTCCCAACACAGTGCTGGAGTGCAGCCAAGCTGGGCCCCCTAACCCTCCTCACAGGGCTAAGTGGTGCTCAAGTCACTTCCCCTCCCCCCTGCAGGGCCAAACCATGTCCCCTTTACCCCTGCTCCCAGGCTCATCCCCACCCCCCGCTCATGGGGCTGGGGAAAGTCCCTTTACCCTCTGTTGGGCAGGGCTCAAGTCAGGCTGCCCTCTACTCCCCTCTGTGTGGCCAGAAGGTGCCTACCACACTGGCTCTGGGCACTGGACTGGAACTACCATCCAGCCTGCAGTTAGACCAGGCACTGCCCATGTGGCCTGCTGGGGAAAAAGGTTGAGCAGCACTGCATTAGAGCATTCATTTTTTCTGTTTTTACTGTAATTTCTATATGTAGAAAATATAACCAACGTGGCTTAAAAATATTAAAAGCTCAATAGAAAAATAAAAATGCAAGAAAGCATTTCTCAGAAGAGGGAAATTGGGAAAAGAAGGATGAAACCTTATTTCAAAGTGACAACATACAGTTAACATAGCTTCAAAACAATGAACTATTCACACAGTAGAAACTCCACAGATTTCTATGGAGTTCTTAATAGTCCGATCTTAAGTCAACACACTATACACAGCGGTAAGTCAATACACTAATGACTGGGCATGTCTACATGTGTATTTACGTGTTCCTAAATTTGATGTGCCTTTGCTTAAGGCACATTAAGGCAATTTAGGTGTGCATCTATACATGGACATGCTAATGTGCATTAAGGCACATTAAATTTAGGTGCGAATAGCTAAGTTGTATTAGCCCACATGCAGATGTGCTAACGTACACTAACACGGTGTGTGTCCATTGACGCACACTGCATTAATGCGCATTACAAGTCTACACACATGGGCTAATGTGACTCAACTATTTGCACCTAAATGTCATACTTGCTTTACGTGGGTATCAGATTTAGGAACGATTAGCCTAAAATCGACATTTGTAAGGTGCATTAAGGGCGCACACGTGTGGACATGCACCTTAAAAATGGCAATTGTTAGACTAATCCTATTTAAAAGAGGTATGTGCAGACATGCCCACTGAGAATAGCTTTAGCCATTAATCACATAAATTTTCTGTTAATACTCTATTTCCATTTAATACAGCAAAACAGCAGGACAAAAATATTTAAATATGGTGGATCAAAGAGAAAACATACTGTTCTAGAGAGCCTAAGTTTGTATCAACAAAAGAACAAAACTGAAGATTCAAAGCCCCGTCCAGATTATATTCCAACATCATTTACATATTCCACCCAATCACCTCATACATCAGTGCCCTCAGGTGTCTGGCTTCGTATGTAACTGTGTTCTTCCCACTATGCAGCCTCTCTTCTTCAAGGGGTTGCTCAATAACAGCTGGGATGTTCCTGCCATAGAGTTCACACTGCTCCAGAAACTGGACGCACTCTTGAATAACGTTGTCACGCAGCATGATCATCTGTTTAGACATGTTCTCCAGCAATGACAGGAAGCACCTTTTGGCATAATACCAGGTGTCTGTACCTAACTTTTTGTTATAAGGCTCTAAACTTTTAATTACCCTTGAGATGCCAAAGTCATAGTTTCCTTTGGCACAGTAGAGCGTTCCAATGACTAAGTTGACAATGCAGAGATGGTAGATCTTTTTATCAGGGTCATCATAGGAAAGCTGCTCCTCCTCCTTTTCAATCTTCCTCATCAGTTCCTCTGCCTCTTCATTTTGGCTTGTCATGATATAGGAGACACAAAGGTTGGCTAGCACAATAGCACTGACTTGCAGTATGTTATCATAGTGCTTCTTTACAATGGGCTCATAGAAGCCAATGGCTTCTTTGTACTTGTTTTCCTGCATGAAGAGCACATGAGCCACATTCAGCTTCCACACTTCATGTTCATTGCAGAACTCGACTGACTTGCGGAAAATCTTCTCCACCATTGTGTAATTCTCCATGTCCCAGTAGATCTTGGCCTGAGCCATCAAGACAGGCACATATTTTTCCAGAGTCTCATCATATTCGCTAACTGACTTGTTGATAGCTTCAGCATCCCGGTTTTGCCTAGCTTCCTGCCCCTGTTTTGCCAGATTTCTCAGCTGCTCGGTCAGTGTCCCTGCCAGCTCATCTAGCTTGTGGAAGGCCTCCTCAGGGGCAGTCTGACATGTAATCATGGCATCCAAGAAGTTGTACAGATAAGGCGTGAGCAGTTTATAGGTCAGATGGGCATTCTCTGCCAACACGTCAGCAGCCAGGTCATAGTACTGGTGCTTGCAGTACAGCAGTAGCAGATTTCCAAAGGTCTCTGGTGGGCAGGGGTTCTGCTGCAGAAGGAACTGCAATTTCTCAAACCCTTCGGTGGGCCGGCTGTCCATGTTCATCAGCGCCTGGTTGTGCAGTGTAACGGGGTCCAGCTCCTTCTCGGCTCTCGGCGGCATGTCCGTCAGCGCCTCCTGGGCTGCCTCCAGGTGGCGCAACTGGTACTCAATGGCTGCCTTGAGGTTGAAGGCCTCCACCAGGGCAGTGCGGTGCAGGAGCAGGGTGTTGCCGACGCTGCGTACGTCGATGCCCTCGGTGGTCATGCCGATGCTGAGCTGCGGGTGCTGGCGCATGCCTCGCTCAATGATCTCAGAGATGTGCTTCACAGCAAGGTCGTACTGCTTGGCGGCATAGCAGCACAGGGCCATGTTGTAGGACAGCTCTGGGGAATAGCCCAGCACCTGCATGGCACCTGCAAACTTGTTGCAGGCCTCCTCATGCCGCCCCTCACGGTACAGCAGGCAGCCCAGGTTCACCTCTGCCTCAGGCACCTCCCACGACCCGTCGGAGCCCCCTGCCGCCCCCTCAGCCGCAGCCGTGAGCACCTGCTCCACCAGGCTCTTGGCTGCCGGGAGATCGCCCTGAGCGTAGTGGGTGGCAGCCTGGAGGCGAAGGGCGCGGCCCTGATAGGCGGGCACGT